ATTTTTGATATCTATGAAGGATCGATCAACGGGAGGCTTCAGAGTGCATGAAAACGGCGAGACTGACATGAGGGGATGCTATTGTGCGATAGCAGTGGCGAAGATGATGAAGTTGCTGACGCCCGAGCTGGAGGAAGGTACGTTGCTGTTGAAGCAACTAGTATGGAAAAATATGCACATGGTCAACTACAGTGCGTGCCAATTTCATATGCAAATGTGTGCTACTGCGGAGGGGTCGCTATCATCATAGTTCCAAACGGGTACTCTCATCACAAGACGCGTTCATAGCCATTGTTACATTGTATATGCGATATAGTTTCACAATGATTCTCAATAACCTCGGAAAAAATACACATTTGCATATTAAATTGACACGCTATGTACATGTGTTGGTGACAATAAGAAATTCTGAGAAAATTTTTGATAATTCTTAGTGTTTTCTGTACATTTCTATTCGAATTTGTATGTAAACACAGTGAGAAAATTGCCGAGTTGAACTGAGGAAAGCGAACAGTATTGGAATTTTCTCAAGGTGTGGTAGGGTATATCAGGAGATGCCAGACCTGGGAAGGAGGCCTGGCGGGCGAGCCTGGACTGGAAGCTCATGGAGGGTAAGGGTTGTGATAGTGAGATATGGGGAATTATTGAGGTCGAACAGATTAGTTTTTTTCCGCATATTTCGCGGAAATATGACGGCAAAATTTTTCCTGACGTTTTCTGCGATTTGTTCATGTGAAAGAAGTCGCTACTTTGAATGAATATTGAAAATTGGCATGTAGTCGGCATTCAATGAAATTTCTGTTAAACCTTAGAAATATTCATAATATGGGAATATGAATTTTTTTTCATAGTTGAACATTGTTATCATTATTTACTTTCACCCGTGATATGGAAAACACTAGTGAAAAACATATTTCGAGATGCAGTTACGTTATCGGTCGCGGAATCATACACGTCTTATAATTTACATATAACAAAAACGCTAATATTTATAATATGTCCTATATCGTAATCTATATGAAATCGCCTTTATGAAATTATGCCACTTCACGTAAAACGGGTGGAACTCCAATTCATACCGACGTTCCGCGTGGTCAGATATGGTTTCTGTGGTCTGGCCGCAGCTACTATGTTGGGTAAGGCAGAGGAGGCATTGAATCTCGAACGTCTGGCGAGATGGGTGTGTCAGAGGCAGCTTGCTTTTGAAGGTGAGCTCCTGTCGGTTCAATTCGATCAGCTTTTCAGTTGCGGTGTGAGCTAGTGTCTGAAAATATGCACTAAATATGAAAATTATCGGGAATTCTTGTTGGTTTTTGTACATTTCGTATGTGAAATTCTATAATTAGTTTTGGAAACTCATGAGCTCAGGTGAGGAAAGCGAACATATATTCCTATTCTAACACTCGCCGATGCGACACGACTTGGAATTCCATTATTTCGATCAGGTGGTTTCAACGGTCGTCCTAATAAACTGGTGGACAGCTGCTATTCATATTGGCAATACGGGTCGTTATCAATACTGAAAGCGTTGCTTGACATACCTGAGGTGAGTTTGCATCATCGTGGTGGTTTTCATGATATCTGTGTTGTGATAGAAAGAACAAGCCTGGTGTGCCCCTGAGCCCCTGCAGATGTACATCCTATTGGCATGCCAGGATAGGGAGAGAGGAGGGTTTAGGGACAAACCTGGAAAGTGAGATGAGACGTTATTGATATTATAATGGAGTTTCATCCGTGGTATGAGAAACACTAGTAAAAACATATGTATTTCGCATTCGACTAGGCGAAAACAAAGCAGTGAATAACGTGTAAAAATGTGATGTGTTTCACGTGAAACGGGGGGATGTAATTCTCCCGAGTAGTTGTAGTGAAAAGTGTAATTGTTTTCGGGGGAGCCATCTGTGCCCTCCCGATGGGTGTCTTCAATAGTCCCACTCTTCACGTGGAAATGTTTTCAATCCAATTCTCCTTGCGAACTTGGAGGTTTGCATGGAGTGTTACGACACTTGACGTAAAAAGGGTGAAACTCTATTAATAATTTCTAATTCCGGTAATCTCTATAATAACTTCAGTGCTAAGCAAACAGTTATGCATATCTAAATTTTCGAGGAGGCATTCTCCAACTCGAGAGTAATACGAAAATAGACCACGGAACGCTTCTAAAACGTTGGTGTCAATCGATTCACATTGTTAACATGTTGATATTACTCAAAGTTGACTTTCGAACTCTCGAAAATTGAAGGTATTGAAAATATTACTTTGCATAATTACGGTTTGGTTCACTTAGAGGGTGTGTTAACTATTTTAGTGGTATGAATATTATATGAAAGCACTAGTGAAGAACATATTACCTTGCAGAACATATTGAAAATATTACTTTGCATAATTACGGTTTGGTTGTTCACACTGTAGATTACCTTGTCTCAGGAATTGTGATTATTATCATACATGTTATGCGTTGTCGGGTATGGCTGCATCTCAATGGCACTGCGGTAGTCCTCCAGTAACACTAGGAGACAACACTACGTTAGTTCAGTCTGACGTGCTTTACAACATTTCAAAGGAGGCTCTGAGCAGACTGGAAAAGTAGGCAGCCTTGTGGTTCGTGTTCATTTGCAGTTCTACGCGAAGTGGTGTTAAACACTGTGAAAACACTTCGATATTCGCAGTGGCAGTGGCAGTGTTGGAGTAGGAATATATGTTTGTTTTCCTCAACTGAGCTCAGGATTTTCCAAAGCTAATCACTTATAGGAGTCTACATACAAATTCGGGTAGAAGTGCACAGAAACTAGTAAGAATTTTCTCATTGTCGCCAACACATGTAGTTGACCATGTGCCATATCTTCCCAGGCTGTGCAGTGGTTTGTGAAATAGGGTTTGCACTAGTGTTTTTCATATCACGGGTGAAACTCCATTAGTTTAAGAATCTGTCAGGTACTTCGAAGATATTCCCACAATCACTCACAAAGAATGTTTTAGCACTTGTGGAAATTGAAGAGGAGTTTCCATTTCATGCTATGATATTGAGTTTTAGCGGAGCGACGCGGCAGATTGACAGTCGTTCGTTTCAATGACACAAGTGTCCGATCTACTGCACGCTTCTGTATGTTGTAATTGTACTGCTGTTAGCGACCGTAGCGGTGGTACGGGCTTTTATACAGCTCCTTGTGGGCATGCGTAAGTGGGCAATCTCCTTGGCAGTGTTGGAGTAGGAATATATGTTGGCCTTCCTTAGCTGAGCTGAGTTGTTTTCTCATTATTTATAGAAGTTCTCACACGACTTGGGTAGAAGTGTACAGAAACCAACAAGAAATTGCAGAATTTTCATATTGTCACCAACACACAGTTGGCGAAGTGCATGTTTTTCTACACTGCCTCTTGAACTCTCCGTAGTTACCACTTGTGAGCTTGTGAAAATTACTTTTTGTTATTTTCCGAGAATGGGAATTACTTATCATGGTTTGAAATATGTGGCTGCTATCAGCGTTCCCGGGTTTCCAGGAAAATTTTCCAAGCTTGCTTGAATTGGTTTATGTGAATATTCTGACCGTTCATCATGCATGTGGTTTAGATATTGTGAAAGCTGTCTTCATCGAGTTTTCTGCCTCTCCTCGCGTATCACCTGTCGAGCCTCTGTGGGAGAAACCGGTATCTGTGGCAGGCTTATCGAACGAGGACAGATGAAGTGAGTGGGGGAAATCAAGAGCTTTCGCTACATGTGTCGATGATAATGTGGAAATCCTGAAGATTTTTTTTGGAAAATTCTTGTTAGTTTTTGTACACTACTACCACAACTCCTATACAAAATCTCATAGGAAATTCTTGAACTTAGCTGAGGATCGCTAAACGGTATTATATGATTGGTTTCCTTAGCTGAGCGCGTTCTCAAATCTTACTTAGCATGTTTTCGTGAAATATCGAATATGTTATATATATTCGCTCAACACTGCTTTGCAAGGGAGTGTAAAAGGTGATGTTGTGGTAGGTTCTCGAGCTCAGTAGATTTGGTTGCCGAACGAGTGACGCAGACCCGACGGAAAGTGTACGAAGTTATGAACAAGTCGAAGTTCGACTGTAGCGGCACTCCAGAGTAGCCCTTGGTGGCGTCTTGTGGCTTATCACGGACTTATGTTCAGGTATGATATGTTCTTGGCTGATCGGGAGGACATGGTTCAGCGTTTGCTGGATGATTCCGATGCATCTAAGCAACGATTGGCCCAACAGGAGCTCGAGCGGTGAGATTCATTGGGCGCATTTGGAGTTTGGAACGCTCTTCAAATCGAATCGTGTAAAGCATGGTGCGGGTCAATTTGATATGCAAAGAAATGTGTGATCTTTTCCGAGATCAATAAGGATCGATCTCTAATGTGGACATCACTATGAACATATATTCCTATTCTAACACTCGCCGAAGCGACACGACTCGGAATTTCATTATTTTGATTAGGTGGTTTCAATGGTCGTCCTAATAAACTGGTGGACAGCTGCTATTCATATTGGCAATACGGGTCGTTATCAATACTGAAAGCGTTGCTTGGCATACCTGAGGTCAGTTTGCATCATCATGATGGTTTTCATGATGTCTGTGTTGTAATAGAAAGAACAAGCCTGGTGTGCCCCCGAGCCCCTGCAGATGTACATCCTATTGGCATGCCAGGATAGGGAGAGAGGAGGGTTTAGGGACAAACCTGGAAAGTGAGATGAGACGTTATTGATATTATAATGGAGTTTCATCCGTGGTATGAGAAACACTAGTAAAAACATATGTATTTCGCATTCGACTAGGCGAAAACAAAGCAGTGAATAACGTGTAAGAATGTGATGTGTTTTACGTGAAACGGGGGGATGTAACTCTCCCGAGTAGTTGTAGTAAAAAGTGTAATTGTTTTCGGGGGGGGGGTATCTGCGCCCTCTCGATGGGTGTCCTCAATAGTCCCACCCTTGACGTGAAAGTGTTTTCAATTCAATTGTCTTCGCGAACTTGGAGGTTTGCATGGAGTGTTACGCCACTTGACGTAAAAAGGGTGAAACTCTATTAATAATTTCTAACTAGGCCTTCTCGGAGAAGGGGCGGAGCTCGGCATCCGGGTTCGATTCCCATGCCTGGCGTTTTTCTTCAAAAATATGTTTTTTGCACGGAAATCTACATGGTCCGGGCGGAACCCTAATTTCGTATTTTTCCTAGTATTCCCAGAGCGAGAGCTATCGTATGGTGTATAGCATGTGATCATAACCTCTCTAGATCGAGCTGGATAATTTGTTCGCATGCACGCACGCACGCACGCACGCACGCACGCACAAAGTGTTAGTAAAGTGAGAGAATACGCTCCGCTCGCTTCGCTCGCTCCGCAATTTCGGTAATCTCTATAATAACTTCAGTGCTAAGCAAACAGTTATGCATATCTAGATTTTCGAGGAGGCATTCTCCAATTCGAGAGTAATACGAATATAGACTACGGAACGCTTTTAAAACGTGTCAATCGATTCACATTGTTGTCATGTTGATATTACTCAAAGTTGACTTTCGAACTCTCGAAAATTGAAGGTGTTGAAAACGGTTGGTTGTTCACACTGTAGATTACCTTGTCTCAGGAATTGTGATTATTATCATACATGTTATGCGTTGTCGGGTATGGCTGCATCTCAATGGCACTGCGGTAGCCCTCCAGTAACACTAGGAGACAACACTACGTTAGTTCAGTCTGACGTGCTTTACAACATTTCAAAGGAGGCTCTGAGCAGACTGGAAAAGTAGGCAGCCTTGTGGTTCATGTTCATTGCAATTTTACGCGAAGTGGACTTCGATATTCGCAGTGGCAGTGTTGGAGGAATATATGTTTGTTTTCTTCAACTGAGCTGAGGAGTTTCCAAAGCTAATGACTCATAGGAGTCTGTGTACAAATTCGGGTAGAAGTGCACACAAACTAGCAATAATTTTCTTGTCACCAACACATGTAGTTGACAATGTTCCATATCTTCCCAGGCTGTGCAGTGGTTTGTGAATTATGTTTTTCACTAGTGTTTTTCATATCACGGGTGAAACTCCATAGGTTCAAGAATTTGTCAGGTACTTCGAGGATATTCCCACTATCACTCACAAAGAATGTTTTAGCACTTGTGGGAATTGAAGAGGAGTTTCTATTTGATACTATGATATTGAGTTTTAGCGGAGCGAAGCGGCAGATTGACAGTCGTTCGTTTCAATGACACAAGTGTCCGATCTACTGCACGCTTCTGTATGTTGTAATTGTACTGCTGTTAGCGACCGTAGCGGTGGTACGGGCTTTTATACAGCTCCTTGTGGGCATGCGTAAGTGGGCACCTGCTTGGCAGTGTTGGAGTAGG